GAAAGGCCCTATGATAATTTAACACAGGCTTTAAAGGTGTTTTTAAATATAACCTTGGTATCTTTATCAAGGTAATATTGTAAGCTAAAATTGTCTTTTGTGTCTGCAAGTTTGCGTCCCTTTGAACATGGGAGGGGGCAGGTATTTGGCCCAGTTAGCGGAGGCTCCTACAATGTGGGAAGTTAGAGAAACTTTGGAGAGGGTGTAACAAGGAAAAAAAATAACAAGTTCTACAGAATTGCTATGAGTTTTTGAACTACAGCCCGTAGTTCTCTGAATACCCGAGTCAAGGGCAGGAGAGATGTCTCAGTTAGGAAAGTGTTTGCTGTGTTAGTGTGGGGACCCGAGTTCAGATCCCCATGTTAGAAGTCAGATATGGCAGCAAATGCCGTATTCCTAAGGCTGAGGTCCTAAGAGAGAAGGAATCTGGGGGCTCGCTGGTGAGTCACTCTAGTCAATCTCCGGGAGATCCTGTCTCAGAAACTAAGGTTGCACAATAGAGAATAACCCCAGTGCACAAACATGTGTGCCCTACTCCACAGAAACCCAGAACAGGGTCAAGGGTACCTTCTTGAGTCAGGAATAAGATCATTTGTAACAGAATAGGGATCCGATCGTCCTGGGATTAAGGCAGAGGAAATGGATTAGAGAAAGGGATGTGGATTTGTCTTGGGTAGAATGATGGCTTCTCCCACTAGTGATGATGGATGAGATAAGGAATGAGTTACACAGAACTACGTGCTTTACTTTGTATGCCTTTAAAAACGAGATACTGATACTCATGTCTCCGCTGGAGATAACTAAGATGGTAAGGCATGTGTGTACAGTTTTAGGATGGTATGGTTTTCTTTTAAGACTGAACGTTGCAATTTTTAAAATTCAGGGTCCTATACTACAGGCAGCAGAAGAAAGGACTGATATGAATAATAATTAGATCTCATTTTAGAGTTACCACCTAATCTTATTTCGTGAAAGAAGATTGTGAGCTCGTAGGTAATTGCTTCCCTCATCTGCTTTAAGTTCAATAATTCTCGCTCATTGTTTTTAATTCTGTTAAAGAGTGTTTATTAAAATACTAATGAGACTAAAGCCGTGCTGATTAAAAATGGCATTATTCGTTTAAACCTTTTGATATTATGAAATCCATGGTAGATTATGCCATAGGAAGATGGAGCCTACACTTCTGGTGCCATATGCTTAGAATATTGCTTTCTTCACAGTATTAGTTCAGGTATTATGTATAAAAACATATGTGTGTGTGTGTGTGTGTGTGTGTGTAAAAACATGTATAATTTTTATACATAAAGGCAATTTGCCCTAAGAGATCTCGATGGGGTGTACACCCCTGGTGATGGCTGTGGTATCTAATAAACAAATTAACATGGATGTGTACCAAGCAAGGTGTATTTGTGTCCCCCATTGTAACATGTGGGGCCGGCTTGTTGGGGTTTCTGTCCAGCCCAGTACCCCATATGTAGTATGAGGGCCGGCTTGTTGGGGTTTCCGTCCCTCCCAGTACCCCAACAGCCAGCAAGCAACAAAGAAAATCACACACAGAGATCTCTATAAGTTATAAAACTGATTGGCTCATTAGGTCAGGCTTCTTGTTAACTCTTATGACTTATCTTAACCCATTATTCTGATCTATGTTAGCCACACGGGCTCAGTACCTTTTTCAGCTGTCAGCTTACATGTTGCCTCTTCGGTGGTCTGCGCAGGAATGCCTGAGAGAGAGCTTCTGCTTCCAGAATACTCCCAGTCTCTTTGCTCCACCCCTACTTCCTGTCTGGCTTTCCCGCCTATACTGCCTGCCTGGCCAATCAGCGTTTTATTAAAATATGATTGACAGAATACAGATAATTCTCCCGCACCATTTCCCTCTTTTTTTTTTTTAAAACAAAGGAAAATACCCATAATCCATTTGTTGGGAATGTGGGCGTAGTATTTCAGGCTACTTCCTGCTGGTTGGGGGCGCTGATAGTCTTAAGGGGACCTAAAGAAAATTTAGAGTTATAATCAAGTCATGACTGGAGTATCCTGTGAGTCTCGATCATCTCAGGCAGCAGTCTTGGATCAGTTCTGGATGTAGACCTCTGTCATCTGGGCCATCTGTTCCTATCGGAGATTTTTCAGGTGGCCTCCCTTGGTCAAAGGTGATTATTCTTAACTCTGAATAAATCCAGAGTCTCTCGTTTTCTGTGGAAACAAAAGCAAAATCTCTTCTCCAAAGTAACATACCTTTTGACTTCAGTTTTGAAGCCAAGGTATTTTCAAAATTCCTATCTTGAGTTAGTTCAGCAGCATTTATAAACAAAAGTCTTTTAGCAGTTGTTGCTCCTTCCTCAGCAATCAAACAATTTAAAGAGAGCATAATAGCATACAGTATGAAGATTCTCTGTGCATTTTCCATCTTTATGTGGCTTTATTTTAACCTCTATTTCTTTTATTTTTACTTTTACTTTTTGAGACAGGATCTTTGTATATCTTTGTCCTGGAATAACACTGTAGACCAGGCTGTCTTTGAACTCACAGAGATCCTCCTGTCTCTGCCTCCCCAGTGCTGGGATTAAAGGTGTATGCTACCACACCTTGAACTCAGAGATCTGTCTCTGCCTCCCAGGCATTGGGATTAAAGGCGTGTACTACCACACCTTGAGGTCACAGAGGTCAATCAACCTCTACCCCTTGAAGTCACAGAGGTCAATATGCCTCTGCCTCCCAGGCATTGGGATTAAAGGTGTGTACCACCACACCCAACTACTCTCTTTCTTTCATTTTAACTTTAAGAACTTTAACTTTTAGCCTGCATATACACACTGTAAACCATTTAGAGGTTTTCTTCCTCTTTGAATCTCTCTTTACTGTATATTTTTCTTTTTCTGACCACATGAGCCATTAATTTACTAAGCAATATGGAGAGCCGTGGCTTTGACGGCTAGATCCAGCTCATTCCTTAGCTTTTCAGCCTCAAGGCTGAGGTACCAGCCAGAGCTGTGTTCACTGCCACAACTCTATGGCGTTTCAAGGTCCTTGCCAGCAAGCAAGCTGCAGCATTCTACTCACAGACCACACTCAGTCGGACTGCCTGCCTGAAAGAGTCAGAGTTTGCTCTGGCAGGACAGCCCAGAAAGTCGGCATTTTAAAACAGCGCAGCTTTTTTCCTGCTACGGCTGAAAACCGAAAAGCATACGTTCAGCTTTTGATAAACACCATTTAAGTGTTTCGTGGCAGGACCTCTTAATGAGCTGCAAGGTTTTGCAGCTAAAGCTGAGTCAGGAAGCCTCTCTTATATGAGAGCCTTGCTTGCCTCTAGCAAGCAAAGTAGACCCGAGAAATTGCTGCTACCAACAAAACATGCTTTACTCTATTCTATCCCAAGCTTTCTCAAGCTTTCTGTGGATTCAGTTATCCACGTTGGGCGCCATATGTAACATGAGGGCTGGCTTGTTGGGGTTTCTGTCCCGCCCAGTACCCCAACAAGCCAGCAAGTCCCAAGGAAAATCACACGGAGTCTACATTAGGTTATAAACTGATTGGCTCATTAGGTCAGGCTACTTATTAGCTCTTATAACTTATATTAACCCATTATTCTCATCTATGTTAGCCACACGGGCTCAGTACCTTTTTCAGCTGTCAGCTTACATGTTGCCTCTTCGGTGGTCTGCGCAGGAATGCCTGAGAGAGAGCTTCTGCTTCCAGAATACTCCCAGTCTCTTTGCTCCACCCCTACTTCCTGTCTGGCTTTCCCGCTTATACTGCCTGCCTGGCCAATCAGCGTTTTATTAAAATATGATTGACAGAATACAGATAATTCTCCCGCACCACCCCATAGGTTTCAGGATGATTGGGGTTGGGAGTGTTTCCTTCCACTGATACCCCTCCCTCACTGACCCCTAACAGCCGTTCTTCTTATTCAGGGTCACACTTGGAATACATCTTTCAATTTCTATTTTTTTCTTTCTGCTTTGTATGGTTTCTTGTCTCGGTTATCTTTTTGTTATTTGTCTCTTTTCAGTCATAGGTTGAATGTACTTCTCAAGTAGGCCACTATTTTTATCCTGCTTTTTCTTTGGGAGGTCCTTGGGCTCACCCACTGACATACATTTTGACCGGTGTCTCGCAAACCCAGCCTGCCAAAGGGCCAGTCAGATCTTTCACACCCCAGTTTCTGATGTACCCCCCCCCATTCATTGTCACTGGCTGGGTTCCAGTGCCTCCTACCCATCTGAGCAGTCTCTGGCTCTTCACCCTCTGTTCCTTTGCTTTTCCTTGTCAGCCCCTTACCACCTTTTTCTCACACCAAGGATGACTCCATCTTTCCCTGCTTAAAATCCTTCAACTGCAGTTCCTCATACAAAAGATGTTGCCCAGGTTTTAGCAGGCATAAAACCTCTGTACAAACTGCTCATTTCCGGTTTCCCTCCCAGCCTCTGCCTGCTCCTCCCTTCACAACTTTCACTAGCCCATTCATTACCGTGACCACATCAAACCCTATATTCTGGGTTTAGGGAACAGGAAGAGCAAAGCCCGGAGCTGGGAAATAATGCGGTGATGCTTAAGCAGTGGAGTGATACCACGAATGGTGCCTGGTTGGTACCGGAGACCCTGAGCAGCAGCTTGTGCCATGCAGCTGTTGGTGCGGGAGCCTGGATGCTCGGCGTAAGAATGGCGATCCAGAGATGTAGTGGCGTTGGCAGGATGGTTTGGGAAGCTCTGAGTTCAGTCCCCAGCATGGCATAAATCTAGTTGTGGTGGCTCACACCTGAAATCTCAGCACTCAGGAAGTAGAGTCCGGCGTTCAAGGACATCCTTTACTATGTCTCTAGTTTGAGACCACTTCAGGATTCAAGAAACCTTATCTAAAAGAAACAAAGCAAAACAACAACAAAAAAGATTGGTGATATCCTGATGAAGGCTTACCTTTCTCACCTAACAGCGACGTGAAGAAATGCCCAGACCCGCCCTCACACCCTGATGCCCTCCTCTCTTCCTCCTCCTAGCTTGCGACGGTGATCACTGGGGGCCGCACTGCAGTAGCCGGTGCCAGTGCAAGAATGGAGCGTTGTGCAACCCCATCACCGGGGCTTGCCACTGCGCTGCAGGCTACCGGGGATGGCGCTGCGAGGACCGGTGTGAACAGGGTACCTACGGTAATGACTGTCACCAGAGATGTCAGTGCCAGAACGGAGCGACCTGCGACCACATCACCGGGGAATGCCGTTGTTCACCGGGATACACTGGGGCCTTGTAAGTTGATGAGCCGTGGCGCCGCACCACAGATTCTGTGTGCCTCGATTTCTACTACTCTCTCAGTAGCCACTGCGGGGTCTAGGGTCCAGGTACCACTGTGATGGCCGCTAGGGCCTGCTGCTGCTTGACTTTCCAATGCTGGAGCTCAGCCAACATATCGTATAAGGGCATATATGTTATAAGTCAATATATAACATCCAGGCTCACTGGATGGTGGGTGAATGAGTATGTTTGGGGGTTGTCACAGCAGGTGTGAATTTCTGTTACAAATTTCCCACAGTTCCATTCACCTTCTAGGAATAGTTGATAGTGGTCCGGGTGGTTCTGCTCTTGTGACAATTAATTGGATATATCCTGGTGGATCTAAAGCCTACGAACGAGATTGAAATGCTTGCATACAATGGCAGACAATAATGTGAACAATCCTGAGTCATTCGGTGCTCATGGTTGCATCTGTTTCTTTACGAAATAAAAGTACACATAGCTCATTTATTAAAAGGCATTGCGCACAAAGAGTTGATTTTTTTTTTCTGGAGAACCCTGAAATAAATCCTCAATCTCCACGTATTTATTTTGGGAAGGGCCGTCTTTGATTTGCTTCTGTTAACAGAATAAAAGGCAGAATTTGAAGAGGGGGGGAGGGAGAGAGAGGGGGAAGAGAGAGAGGGAGGAAGAGAGGGAAGGAGAGAGGGAAGGAGAGAGGGAGGGAGGGAAATATTGTCCTCTTACTGGGAAAATTATGCTCGTAAATCACAGAACTAATAGTTGGGAAAATGTAGCTGATTAGGTAAATATGTCCTGCTGACAGTGCTAATGTCTGTAGAGCTAAAGAAAAAACCGCACTAGCCTAGAAAGCTCTGGTTTTCAGAATAAATGGTTGTTTCAAACTGCTTAATTGTTAATATCACTTTTATGGGTTTTCATCAAGGCCAGCATTAAATAGGGCTGTGGGAAACTTGGAGGCATTTCCTCAGAGCAAAAATACGGGTGCTTTAGTGGGGAAGGTCGAAGGACGGCAGGGGGAAAGGAGGAGACGGGTGCTGCAAACTGACTAAACTGTGACTAAGCACACGGAGGGAACACGTGAGCATCTAGATCTGCTTTCATGTTAGGACAAACCTCCAAAGAAATGCAGATTTCACTCCAGCGCAAGAGCTTAGGAAGACAGCTTAGGAAGACCACAGTCACCAGTGTGTGGTCACTTTTCTTCCTGGAGCTCTCGAATGGGAGAGATTTTCCCCCAACCAGAGCCAGGTGGATTGCTTGCTGGGACTTCATGCTGTACAAGCCCAAGGATCTGAGTTCAAATCCCTCCCACCTGCATAAGGAGCCGGGTGCGGTCTTCAGGGCCTGTAAGCCTAGTGCTGGGAATCAAGGGAGAGAAGAGACAGGGGATCCCTGGGACTTGCTGGACACCAGCTGAGCCATAGTCAGTGAGCTCCAAGTTCATTGAGAGACCCTATCTAAGGAAATAACTGGAGACTGGAGAGTGTATGCTGCATCCTCCTCTGAGCCCTACATACATGCACATGGGCAAATACACCTGTGCACAGATGTGCGCACATACAGAGACACACACAGACACACATAGAGAATGAGAGAGCACACACACAGATTCACATACTTGAAAGAGAGAGGAGCGGAGAGGAGAAGAGAGGAGAGGAGAGAAAGACACAGAGAGAGAGAGAGAGAGAGAGAGAGAGAGAGAGAGAGCTCAAACCCAAAGAAGGACCCAAAGAAGGATCTAATGGCCCATCAAGATGCTTCCAGCCAATGTGATTAATGTTCTGAATGCAAATTATGTTAATAATTATCAAATGAAGACAGGCTGTATATTTTAGGGTTCTGGATGATGTGTCTGTGAATCTGAGGATCATGTGCTTGGATAATAAATAGCAGTATCTTATGTTTCACTTAAATCCCTCAGTTGTGAAGATCTTTGTCCCCCTGGCAAACATGGGCCACAGTGTGAGCAGCGATGTCCCTGCCAGAATGGAGGTGTCTGCCATCATGTAACTGGAGAGTGCTCTTGCCCTTCTGGCTGGATGGTGAGTGTCCCTTCCACCCCCAATAATCACACAGTCCAGGATGCACAGGAGAATGTCCTCTGGAGACTTTAGCACAAAAGACAGTAGCCACGGTGGCTGTAATTCCCACACTGAAATAAGTAGCCACTTGGAAACAAATCCTTCAGATCAGAGAAGCCAGAGGTAACTTCACCCACACTTGTCCACAAAGTGTGTTAAGAACTCCGGTGGAAATAAGAAGGACCATGGGCTCTGCATTCCCCCCAGGAGAAAAAGAAACAGATAATCTGATCTCACACTAACCATAGCAACTAGTAAATGCTGAAATTATTCAATAACTGCCTCCACAATTGCATCCATGGATTGCTACTGTCTATGACAGCCTCCTTCTTAGCAGGGGAAATGTCACATGAAGGTACTAGGCTGTTAGAAAAGTCTGAAGAAACACTGAAGGAAATCAAGAATTGTAGAACCTGATGAGAATGTGAGAACAAGCCAGGCTTACAAAGTTCCCATACTTTGACCAGAACGCTTTTGCTTTATGTAGTAATTCTACACGCTTATTGCTCTGTAGGATGCAGTGTCAAAGCATCACTAATTACACAGGTGAAACCAGGAAAGAGTGTTAGTTCTTGTTTCTCTGCGCTGGTTTATACCTGTGTGCTCGAAGAAAGCAGTTTACAAGAGCAGTTTACACTACCATTACCTTGTCTGTCCAGGACCTCTTCTTGCACAGTTTCTTTGTCGGTGGTGACTTCTTTATTGTCAGAGCCAATAACACCCTTCTGTTCTTATTCTGATTTGTTTCTCCAAAGCTTTGACTCACCTGACTGCCCACCTCTCTGCCTTGACCTTCTTGGTCCTCCACTTCTTCAATGGCCATCTCTCCCACTTGTCTTACTAAAGGACTCTTCCTGATCCTCTTCGGTTATTGCAGCATTTCTCGGGTTTCGGTCTTATTCCCCTCTCCTCTCACATAAACACTCTCTGGGAACTTCATTCAGACATCTTAGCAGTCACCTGCTGCCTTCCCACGACCTTTATCTTACCTTCCCTGAGTCCTAATGTGGCACAACTACCTGTTAGTTCTCCAACCTTGAGAACCTGTGGTCACAATGTCACCGACTTTGTGGGGGTAGAATCACTCTTGAGTGTCGGCAAGGAACATAGGCATAGCCCTTATGACGGACATAAGGGAGGGCTTTTAATCTAGAGCCCTGGGGAAAGCATATAATGAATTGATCAGGCGAAGGTCAGAAACTGGCCAAAGCCTGATTCTTAAAGCAAAGTGTGGGGGCTAGGTAAGGAATAGAGTTGGGGTGCAGTCTTTTGTTGAGGGCCTGAGGATGGAAGGATCACAGGGGTAGTTCCAACATGCCCAGCAAAACAAATGTTAGGAAACTAACCTACCATCTGCTCCTCAGCCCCTTGGATCTGAGTGCAAGCCAACATCTCTTAGAAGCCCGGGTAGAAATGTCAGATTATCTTTGGCTCCTTTTATTATCTCAGCCCCTGTATCAGCCTTCTGCCAACACCGGCCCTTGCTTTGTGGTGAGGGAAGAGTCTTGTTGAAGTGACAGGGTTCAGGGAGCCCCAAGATCTCTGAGTGAAGAACTGCAGGCGTTTCACTTTGAGGTCGCCTCATCTTGAGGTTGAAACATTCCCTCGTCACCTGGAGGTCACAATGTGGGAAGGTGGAAGTCACAGCCTGGGACTATGAGTTCAGGAGGTAGACAGATGGATCCACTCTGTGGGTCCCCTGGAACCTGCCCTCAACCACTTCCTCTAGGCCACAACAGATGTTTCTTAATAGAAGCTTCCAGACATTTTCCTCTGTGGGTAACTGAATTCCCAACTTAAATTTCTCCATTGCAGCATCTTATTTGTATTGTTATTTTAGACGTTTCCAAAGGTGAACTGGCATTCTTGTCACACACACACACACACACACACACACACACAATCTCAGCCAACCGTCTTTCCACTGCTTGCTTACACTAGACTTTATTCATAGTCAATATCTTAAGAGCATTCCTGGAAATTATGAGGGACCATGATAGGTCATTAGAATTAGACCATGAGAAAGTGAGAACCTTGGTCAACTGTTAGCTGGCCCTCAGTCCATCATTCCTTCAGTAATGCCATTATATTCCACTAAGTGCAATAGGATATCCTAACACGGAGTGATTAAAGCTATTTCTGTATCTGCTCTCCTCATCACCCATGAACAAGACAGGCAAATGCCGCTTATCACTGAATCTCAGTGCTTAGCACAATGCCTGGCATGCGGATGATTCTCATTTAAGCACCAATCTGAATCATCTCTCAAAGGCTTTTATGGCTCCAAGAGCCTGTGGAAGAATCTTTCCTGTTGGTGGATGGTTTGAAACCACCAGAGGAGACTTAATTAGCTCACCAACTGCCTTTGTGGGTAGCCAGTAGTTAGGGAAAATGTATTTCTTACGCCATCCAGAATAAACATTTAGAAGACCATCTGGTTTCTAGCTAGGCTCCAATTTCAGAGTACTCACAGTCTGTCTCTTTAGCGAGAGAGAGGGGACAGTGAAAAACATTAGGGGAATCCCGTTATGTGGGGAATGCTGTTTGCACTAATTATGACTCCAATAAATATTTTAATGATTATAACTCCAATAAATCAGAGACTGTAAGCCCAAGTTACATAGCTAAGTGAAGCAGAAAACTGTGGGGTGTTCACTAATATACTGAGATCTTGGAACCATGTCTTAACTTTCATCCACACAGGATTAGAATATACATGCCTGCGCTTGCTAAGGACAGCTCCTATGGTGAGGAGAAATGTCCTAGTGACTTGTTGGGTTCTCTTCAGGGACTGAGTCTGCCTCAGAAATGTTTATTGAACCTTCTTGAAAATGTGTCTTTTCTTCTGGAAGAAAGGTTAATTCCTGTAGAAGTCTTTCTTAGGCCATGCTATTGCTAACTCAAATACACACAGTTTCAACCTAATGCCCTGTTGCATCTTTTGGTTATTTATTTATTTATTTCATTTATTTTGCATACTAACCTCAGTTTCCACTCCCTCCTCTGCTACATCTCACGAAAAGAAGCTAGAGATAGTGGGTAGCCTGTGGGTTTTCTGTGGGAATCAGATGTTGTGGATTCTCAGTGAGTATTGTTGATGTACAGTGTGTATAAGGCACAGGGAAGAACACCTAGGAGCATTTACATAATAATTTTATGTAACTCTACATTAGGGTTCGGTTTTTATTATGAAAATTTCTTAGGACCCCTATTCTGCTGTCTCTGAGTGCATCTTGAGATTTGGACTTATCAGGTCAATAATTCAGTCTGAAATTCCTCATATTTTAAAGATTATTTATTTTGTGTTCTAAAATGCCCTTAATCTAATTTTCTCACAGCCCTGTTCCCCAAATCTCTCCCTCCCTTTCTGTTGTCCCTGTTTTCTTTCTCTGCCGTCCACGGTTTTGGCTGGTGGCCCATCTAATTTTCCAAGTCTCTTTGAATTCAGGGCACAGTGTGTGGTCAGCCCTGCCCTGAGGGTCGCTTTGGAAAGAATTGTTCCCAAGAATGCCAGTGCCACAACGGAGGAACGTGTGACGCTGCTACAGGCCAATGTCACTGCAGCCCAGGATACACCGGGGAACGGTAAGGACACTCTTGAGTTTCTGTGACTCTTTGTAATGAGTTAGAAGGACAGTTTGGAGAATCTAGGGAGCATGCTCAGTAAGATGCATATGTAACTACTATATAATATTCCAGAAGCATCCATAAAGTCTAAAGGTGTTCAAAGAACTCTATCCTCATTGAATGTATAGAAACCGAGTCACAAAATAGCCAATACTGAATTGTAGGAAATTAGAGAAAAACAGGAAGGAAGTTAGAAAAAAGACAATAGAATAAACGCTATTCAGAACCTGTAATGAATGTGTCGTTCTGAAATGCTGAGTACTTAGGTCTTCACATTTTCATTATTTTAGGTAGGTTTGAGGCATGGCAGAAAAATGAGAAAAGGGACAAGGCCATTGACAGATTGGTTTTCAAACGAGACATGTCCTTAGGAACTTAGATAAAGTACCGTCTCTTCAGAATGGCCTTAAGAATGCTTTTTATTTCCAAAACTTTGCTCTAATTTTATGACTTTTGATTAGATACTATACACTTCTCCACCTCCCCAGGAACTATCTGGATTTTCTTATTAAATGCATTTTCTAAATATTTTATAAATTAAAATAAATTCTCTTTCGGTCTCTAACTGGATGCTTTCTAGATAAAGGAAACTCACTTTCACATTTCTGCTTCTTTACTCTTTACCTTGCCAGTTTTGATATTAATTTATTTAAACAAGTCCTGGGATTGTTGAATTTCGCTATTATAGTATCCACTACTAAAGATGAGTCATCTTTAATGATTAACTTGTTTTCTTATTGGACCGATTGGAAGCTCTGAGTTAATTTGGACGAGCAGGAGGTCAATGCGGCAGGTCCAGGCTTAGTCTACTTTATTGAAAATGACTTCAAGTAATTTTTTGTCTACAATCTCTGGTTGCTACCTCATACAGTATCACCTCCTCGGTCCTTCATTTTGTGAAGGTCTTTTGTTAGAAGTGTCCACTTAATTTGATTCAAAGCCATTTTGTTGTTTACTTAGTATTTTGATGTAGGAACTACCGATATCTCAGTTATACCCTCTGCAATATAGAACTGGGCTACTCCTTGTGATTTTGTTTCCCACGGCCTAGTTCTCAGCTGTGGATAGATGAGGTCATTAGATGATTGATTAACGGGATCAGAGAAAGAGGAGAGGCACAAACCCAAGCAGGATCCTAAGTGATTATTTCTATAATGTTTTAAGCTCTAGAGATATTTCAGTGCAAAATTTCACTTAGAGGTTTAAGTTTAAAAGCAACAGAAAAACATCACACCTACCAGACCAGCGAGCTTCTGCTCAGCTGACTAGGAACACAGGGGAAGAGAAGAATACTTAATTTTCAAGTAAACTTTTGAAACTCAAAGGCAAGGGGGAAAACTGAAGCGGGGTGGGGCGATTGATCTTCTACCCACGCTTCTGTGAAGTCATCGGTGATAACGCGCGGTTACTGTTTCTCATTGCTATCCTAGTCTCTGTTTTAAGTCATTACCATACACAATCCATGGGATGACAAGAGGCACATTTTTCTCTATGAGAGTACACAGTGAGTGGCTGGCTGTGGAGCAGTTTGTGGCGGGAGGTGGGGAGGAGACCCGAGGGTGGGGATCGTAAGTGTCCCTTCACTTGTCTTGAGATGTCAGTGCGCCCGGAGCACTGTGATTAGCAGGGCCGCTCCACAGTGGTTACCACCACAGGCAGCTGCCAGCAAATATAGCCAGGATGTGGGGACGCCAGCCACCCCACCTCAGGGAGACAAACGGTGCACCCGGCAGCCTTGCAGGATGGCACCAAGGATGACAAAGAAGAGGCTTTGAGGTTTGTGGAAAGACCCAAAGGGAGCTGCGGTCAGAAGATGCGGTACAGGGAAGTAGGCAAGAAATGAAGAGAAGAGAGTTCTGGCATCCTCTCAGAGCTCTGCTTGAAGATGCCTTACAAGGTGCTAATGGTGTGTCGTGGACTTCCTCTGTGGCCCTTTGATGATAGGACACGGGCATGCCTGCAAAGCATGATTAGTGAGTGTTCGTGATTCAGTAATGGAATTCTTATTGTGAACCCCAAGACAGCCCTGCCAGACCTGTGCTCTGTACGACTCTGAAAGACCAGGGTAATAATGGCACAGAGTCGGGGGCTGCCGCTCAGCGTTGGAGGAGCACAACACTGGTCTTCAATGAAGGGGCATTCTCCCCTCTCTGTGACTGTGGAAAAATTGGCACCCTCAAAGTGCCTTTGGGTTTCCCCCAGGCCAGCAGCTTCAGATGCTACAGAGGCAGGCTGCTGACCCCTGGTGTCCAGGTCTGATGAAGAATGAGAGTCCTTCACAGCGAAGCACAATTTAGCTCAGCTCTTCTGGTCACTCTGGGAACTGACGTGCTCCAGAGGACAAGGAACTGCCAACCCCACTTACTTCCTCTTCTTTAAATTTACAGTCTAATGCAAAGTAGTGGTCAGAATGACATCAGTAAGGATGTGCCCCATTAATTAGTGTTTTATTGGTTTATATCTACTTAATAATTGTCCTTTCTCATAACTCTAGAACACTATTAGACATTTCTTTGTTTTTTTATTTTGTTTTTTTATTTATTTTTTTTTGTTGTTCTTTAAGACAGGATTTCTCTGTCTAACAGTCCTGGTTGTCCTGGAACTCACTTTGTAGAACAGGCTGGCATTGAGCTTACTGAGATTCACATGCCTCTGTCTCCCAAGTGCAGGGATTAAAGGCGTGCACCACCACTACCCAGTTCTCTGCTACCTTTCTTGAGAAAATGTATCACTGATTCCTGGTATAGCCTTGCTTGTTTCTTGTGGGACCACAAAAGCAACTCGAAGGGCATGAAAGGGAAATGGTCTTAAGCTAGAGACCAACTGGAAGGGCATTGCCACTCCATGATGTTTATTTATGGTAGAAAATGTTCTGTATACGGGCATTGAATTATCACACTCTACCTTATACACTTGCACACATTTAAAGCAGCGATGGAAAAAGAAAACCGTGGGCAACGTCTCTTCTAGAAAGCGGCCCCACTGTTTGGGCTTGGCAGGTAGAAATGCACACCTCTTACTGACAGGAAGGTGCAGCACTGACAGAAGCAGCAGCTCCCACAGTGACTGGCTTTACAGCAAATCCAAGTGTATGTGTTGTGAATTTACACTAGACACTGCTGGATGTCTAATTAGAGGCTAGAAAGGTAAATACAGGCCAGGACCAACTATTACACCTTTTGCTTTGCGAGAGAAAGAAAACACTGTGCCAAGACGCCATGAGGCCCCACACTCTGGTTCTCTGTGATGGTGACGACATAACTTTCTGAGACATCCGACTTCCAACGGCCTTTGCAGTGTATTGAAATAAACCACGTTAAAATTATGCAGATAACTCAAGGTCCAGCCTTTTCCTGGTTAATGTTTATGTATTTACTGTGTGTGCTGGGGGTGGGGCGGGGCGTGGAACCTGTGTGGGGGTCAGGGAGCAGCATGTGGAAAGCAGCTCATCTTTCAGTCACGTGGCTTCTGGGATCCAGCTCAGGCCGCTGGGTATCTTTATACCCTGAGTCATCCCACCAACCCAAAATTTAGCAATTGTTTTGTTTGTAAATTCACAGAAGAAGGTGAAGTGGTATTTTTCTTTTTTATGTTTCTTCCATTGGCATTGAATTGCAAGGACATCCCTTCAGACATATTGAGAAGATCTCTTGCCAACCGTTAGCAAAAGTTTAGATTAGGTTCAATCTCTGTACCTTATGAAGTCTTTCTTTAAAGTGTACACGTTAAAGGGAAAAAAAATCAGATGACTTGGTTTATTAAAGCACCTTGAAGGTTAAAAATATTGAGGACCTTTATAAAAAAAATACTCTGGTCTAGAAATAGCTATATGCGTTCAAATGTAGCTGTAAATCTACATTTGGATTTATTTGAAGTACTCACTCGATTGCCCCAGAATTTCTTTAGTGCGGACAAGCGCACTTGGAGATGGTCTAGAAGCAGTCAAACCTGCTCCCAGGAGGCCCCTTCCTTTCCTCCATCATACTTAATGCACGCTAGAGCCAGAGTCTGCCAGCAAAATGTCAGCAGGCTCCCAAGGCTTCCCCTCTATACTTAGAATCCCAGTGTTGATGCTCACCACACCCAATCATTATGCCAAGCCCGGTGGAAAGTCTATTTTTCTTGAAACTGTTTTTCTGCCGTTGCTCTTTTGCATGCCTTGCTGCTTGCATTGTTCAGATCTGGAGAATGCAATACTGACCTGCATTTTTTACTGGAGTCTGGCATAACTAGGAAGCCACATGAGAAGTGGCTGCAGAGACAGTGCTCCCTACTGAGCACTCCTCCAGGTGTGACGTTATCTCTGTCTTCTTGGCTGAGTGGTCCTCGCCACCTCACATCACCAGGAAGAGATTTGATTATCCCCAGTAACTACCCATGCTCTCCACAGAGCACTGGTGAGTCTTTAGTTCTCCAGCATCAGTTTCCTACCTCGTCTAACTTACCAAAACATCTCTCCCCTCCATGTCATTTTTTGTTCAAAAGACACTGAGGTGAAATTTTTGGTTGGTTTTTTCTCTCTTGCCATTTGGCCATGTTTCCCAACAGAAGACAATATCCCACTTGCCAAAAAATTGTTAGAAAACCCAAAGCCTTCTTATAATCTACAAACTGGGATGCAGGACATCTGATGTTGGAAGCTCAGAATTCCTTGAGTCTTTTGTTTGTATTTAGTTCCCCCTTTTACACATTTATGACTGCTCTTATCCAGAGTGATCCATCTCATGACTTTTCTGCCTATACTGGAACAAACATGAAATACTATGGGCTCAAAAAGCATTTCAACTTGTGCACGGTTCGGCCCTTTGGAACCAACTGTTGGCCTCTTGTCTGAATAGGTGTCAGGACGAATGTCCTGTCGGGACCTATGGAGCAGGCTGTGCAGAGACCTGCAGGTGTGTTAACGGAGGGAAGTGCTATCACGTGAGTGGAGCATGCCTGTGTGAAGCAGGCTTCGCCGGCGAGCTTTGTGAGGCGCGCCTATGTCCCGAAGGGCTCTACGGCATCAAATGTGACAAGCGGTGCCCCTGCCACCTGGACAACACTCATAGGTGAGTGCCAGCTGCCCCGGGAAAAGCATTGTCTATTAAAGCTCAACCTTGAGTGTCCACGGCTCGGCAAGAATGGCCTCTCATTGACAGAAGTTGTCAAGTTGAAGGACATTTTGTTTTTCACCTAGTGACTGAAAGCCTGTGTTCGAAGGGCTAAGGTTGTTGGTGGGTATTAGGTTATTTTATCTGTTGATGGGGACTGGTAAAATGATTCTGCTGAGATGGACAGAACTTTGCCCTAAGAGAAGGATTGTGTGACATTCCCAGAGAAGCAAAGAGACTGTGGAGGGACGGGGGTTAAACCGAGGGCGGGATGTGGAAACAGCGTGCTTACTGCAGCATCTTTTACTTGAGAGCACAGCTGGGGGAGGAAAGAAAGGCTGCAGAGAGGAAGTGGGCAGGGTTTGTGAACGCGCCTCACATGTGGCTGTCACATGTGGAATAACTTTCAGGACTGATTGTTCTGACCAAAAAAAAAAAAAAAAACAAGAGCTCACAGGGGTCTTTCAGCTCAAAAATCTCTCCAAAATCCTAGTAACAGGAAACCACACTCCTGTCCACCCTACTGTGCCTTGTCTGTCCGTGAAAAGTTTCTTCCCACCTATTCTTTCCCTCTCCCCTTCTCCACAGACCAGACACATGTAACTTAGAATTCCCCGCCTGTTTGTAGACTTCTGGAAAAGATAATCGGACAAGAATGTAGCTCAGTATACAACAGTTCAGATGCTAGGAGAAAGACTTCTGTTTGCATTCAGAGCAGATGGGACTCCATTTGTACTCAGCCACATCAAACCCCAAACATATGAGAGCTAGAAGGGAACAAAGGTGTGTGATTGGTCGATTCTTTAAGCCATTGTTATGAGCACAAGAAAAATGTATTTTGTATTGTATTGTAGTGTGTGTGTGCGTGTGTGTGTGCGTGTGCGTGTGTGTGTGTAAGAAGTATGCTCTCCAAATGATTCACATAACTTTGTTATGATCAACTTTGGGTTTCTTTCATTGGAACATATTGTTATCTTGTAGATGAAACATTTAGATAATTATGTATGCAAAGATTTATTTTAAACTTTCTGATATGTGAGGAGCTGGCTCGATTAAATGCAAATCATGAGTGTGGCTTCCTGTACAGTAAGGCAAGCCTCATGTAGCACCATCACCAGCAGACTGCTTTGTTATATGTGCATACAACTGAAACCAAATAAAGCAGAAAACCTGCATGAAAATAGACCTCTGTTCTGAGAGGAACTGGAGAAGCATCGAGACTTGGTTTTGGTGGAACTGGGCATCTAGGTGCAGGCGGAGGGTTTTCCCCACCCCGATCATGGAACTGTGGAGCTCTTGACACAGGCCCCGTCAGATATATATATATATATATATATATATATATATATATATATATATATACTTCAATAAAGAAGTAGATGCAGTTGTTTGATAATTACATAGATCAAAACAATACCTAAATGATATGGATCAAATATTCAGAAGATTTTGAAACAATTTAAATGCCCTTAGTCATGAAAACTATTTCAAAAGATTAGCTTTTCCAAATTTCTATTGACACTAGTTAAATGTGGATTACAGGAATCTATCACGTTGGCTACCCAGCTGGAACCATCTATTAATTCTTATCTCTTGAGCATCCCTGTAAAATGCAAGGCCCTTTCAAGAGAAAAAGGGCTTAGAATCATTGCTTTGATTGAAAACCTAATTTGCTTTCCTCTCATCTAATAAAGCAAGTACAGATTTGTCGTTATATATAATTCATGCAATAAACTTATCCAAAGCCTTTCCGTGTAATTAATCATATATACAATGCAATGTAAATTACTAGTTTACATAATGCCTTGGTTCCGCGCATGCCCATACTGACCTAGGAGAGCTGCACACTTGAGGAGGGGTCGGGATCGGCTAGCATTAGTCGCATTACAACAAACAAACCTATGATGCCGAATTGAGCAGCCTTAGTAGCCGATGACTTTCTACTGTGTAGGTTAGGCTCATCCTGGCGGGGGGGGGGGGGGTCTCGTCTGCTGTTTTCTGTAGGGACACCTGGAAGATCCATTGGAAGCTGACTGGTCCTGGAAATCCTCACTTCGTGTCTGGTATTTGGCTAGATGACAAGAGTGACTAGGCACATGGAGTCTCCAGAAGGGTAGCCTGGGCTCATTTTAGCCAACTGACATCTAAAGGCAACAACAGACAGGGCAGGCTCTAACATCTAAATACATTTAAGCATTTGGTTATGTCGTGTTGCCCAATATTCATCTTTAAGATGAAGCAACCCTCACAAGAGAGCCAGGTTCAATAAACTATTTTATTTTATTATTTTGAGACAGGTCCCATTGTATATCCCTGGTTGAAACTTGCTATGTAGACCAGACTGTCCTTGATCTTGGCCTCCACTTCTTTAGGAGAGGCATTCCCCAAACTGTAGCCATTTTATTTTGTAATCCGTTATTTAGTTGAGATTAATTTAAATATACTTACTGGTAATATTAATATATAAATATTATTGAACCCAAAGACATTTTTGCTGACCTAGACTTTCAGGTGGAAAACTAAGTTTTATAGTGGAAATGATTTAGAGCAAGAAAATAGAATGAGTTTACTTATACTGCACATAGCATATGTCTACTAGTCCTCGTTAATAAGGACAGTCAGTAGCCGTTAGCAAGCAGTATCGACTTAGTTGGCAAACCCCACCTGTTCTGTTTTCCTAATGCTGTGATAAAGAGCACAGCTAAAAGCAAACTGGAGAGGAAGGGGCTTGTTTCAGCTTCCAGGTAACAGTCTGACCCTGAGGAATGTCAGGGTAGAAATCCAAACATGAACCTGGAGCAGAAATGGTGAGGAAAGGGTGCTTATGGGCTCCATCTCTTCATGCTTACCTAACCCTGTTGTATAGTCCATACCCACTTGCCTAGGGATGGTACCACCCACAGTGGGCTGCTCCCTTCCATATCGGTCATTGGTCAAGAAAATCCCTCACAAGCAAAGCCAATCCGATTGAGTCAACTCTTCAATTGAGGTTCCCTCTTCCCAGGTGACTCTAGGCTGCGTCAAGCTCACAATCAAAACCAGCCAGGAGACCACCCAATTGTCATTGCATTTGAGTGCAGACCTCATATAAGGAAAGGAATAAACGAAAGTTCAATAACTCATGATGGTTTGATAAATATGTCTATTGGGGCTTGAACCTAGGACCTCACACATGCTAGTCAAATACTTTATTACTGATACAGCCCAGCTCTTTTCATAGTTTTTATCTTGAGACAGAGCCTCACGAAATGCCCAGGCTGACCTTGAATTTACAGTATGGTCCAAATAGTCCTTCAGCTGACAATCCTCCTGTCTCAGCCTCCTGAATAGCTGGTATCACAGGTCCATTTCACCAGCCTCAGCCAGTATTATGTACCATTGGACTCCTGTTACAAGTTAGCTATCAAATCGAAGAATTACTTTTTTAAACTAGCTGTAATTATAGGCATATATAAAATGACAAATATTTCCGTATGTGCATGATTATATTTTCATGTGTAAAGCAATTTGTTCTTTACAGAAAGCAGGTACGAAATAACACCCTTCCACCTCCGATCTTTCGCATGTTGGTCTCATTATCCATTAACTGCCTGAGTGAGAGCCCACCGAGCACCTTCAAACTGCTGAGGTGTCCTACACCTAATTCCAAGTTGCAGAATGCTAATCCTGCTGTCAACCATTATGAGAACCAGTGCATTGGACTGCCATTCACTGGGGGCCCTTCAATATCTTTTACTCTATCGGCCCCCCAGTTCACATTCATATATTTTGTTCAGCATTCATGCCTATAACATGAATAATATTTCTGATTTTTAATTGTAAATCATTTTCTACCAAAGGATGCCCTTTCCTTTATAGAAGGTTCAGATAAGATAAAATATTTTATTTCCTTTTGCTTTTCTCAAATTTAAGGTTTTACTCAAATAAATTTGACTGATTTTCACAATCTTGCTGACTTTGTATCACAGCATTAAATCCTAAATTTTAGTAATTCCTTTTCGCATTGAGTCACTCTCGAAGGCTAACAAACTTTCTTCTCTCTCCATTTCAAAACACACCGACAAGGCTGTGTTGAAGTCTGACTCTGCCACTACTACATATGCGAACCTCTGAATAAGCTTTACCCTTTCTAGGCCTCAGTTTCCTCGTTTATGAAATGGAACCATACCTGCCACTTTAGGTGGCCACGGGGACTGAGATAAATAATGCATGTAGGTAGTTTAGCAGGGGGCTGGCACCAGGTCAGTGCCTTGTAAATGCCATCTGTTAGTGTCTGCCTTCACCTAAGTGAACCTCACAGGTATTGGAGGCAATTCTCTTTAAGACTAACAACAAACTTAGGGGAAGCCCTGCCTTTGGACACGGGTACTTGTGTCATGCCTCAGAGATGCGAGGGAGAAGCAGGGATGATATAAAATCCAGATCTGAAGACGGCTATGTCCTTTTCATCAGTTCACCCTGCAGTCTTTGCTGTAAGCCTGCCTTGTGCTGGGGATGGGCTGCATACGTGATTTAACTCTTGTCCTCCTAGATCTTGTGGCATGGTGGGAAAGGAAGTTGTGGGGGTGAAGTAAGTTAAGGCTGCAGACTGACAGGTGAGCCGAGGAAGGGGAAGGGAACTGGGGAGACCTACTTAGTCTTACTGGGTGGAGAAGATGTCTATGAAGAGGGCTGTTTCAGCGGAGACTGAGGACAAGATGGAGAGAGAGAGGGAGAGGTGAAAAAGGGAAGGTGTCTCTTAGGACGTTGGAGCAGCCCCATGGAAGTTCTTGAAGGACAGAACTCTGGATGCTTTTGCAGGCTGAAAGACATGCCATGTGGCTGAGCGTAGAGATGAAGAAAGAACCACAATGGCAGGCCTTTCGCCGTTGGGTTGGAGCAGGTACAGAAATGGCAGTGGCCAATACCAAGGCTTCATGACTGTCTTAGGGTGACTCTATCTCTGACTTCACAAGGACACACTAGTTAAGCCTATTGTCCTGGGGTAAGTTTTAGCATTTCCCTCTCCACTCTTAAGAAGTCCTGGCTTAGGTTACAAATAGTACAATCATGTCAGCATATTAAACGGTATGGGTTTCATCCCAAGTATTGTTTAGTGGGGAACCTTTCCTAAGCCTTATGGAGGAGCTGTGGTGTGATTGATGCTTTAGGTGACAAGGCATGTGTAGATACAGGTAGGAAGGCATTTTAGTTCAGATGGTAAGATATAGAACAATATAGAGGATATATGGATAGTCAATCTATAGTTTTGAGTTGGCATGCTTAAGTGCTAGTAATAATTAGAGATGGGAGATGAGGCTGAAGGAGAGACCAGGAATGATTCTCTGCCCTCATCAGAGAACTTTCTTCTTGCAGTAGATGGGAAGTAACACAGAGAGTCCTAACTGAACAGTGTGCAGAGTGAGTTGGGTGCACTGAGTCCGAAATGTGACGTTTCGTCAAATTCCTATCCTCCAGGCTCAAGGAAAGAGTGTAAGCGCCAGAGGTGATAGAGGACTCCTTAGAAAGACCATTTAGCAGATTTCTAGATGGAAATGAGCACTTGTCGTTTGCCCTGTTTAAGGGGAGGCTTTGGACTTTGTGGGGACAGGAGGCAATCTCCACAGAGTTTTTCTGTTGTCAGCCGAGTGAATCATCAAGGTTTTTCTGTGCCGAGGAGCACACGTTTTAAGCCAGCGTGCCACAGAGGGCCTTATTGTATCCGCTCACTTGCATGAACATCTTAGCACAGCTGATGTGTCCATTTGCTGTGGGGCAACAGCTGGCTGCCTGGCCTGTCAATGTGGCTACTGTTTCAGGTGGCAGCTGCTGCTCTACCACCAGGTAGATGGGTTGGTGGGGAGAGGCTTGTTGGCAAGGTCGCTGCTTTCGGAATTCCTTGGCTATTACACAGTGGACTTGTGTCTCATGGTGTTGTCTTCTTATTGAGTTAGCGCTTTCAGATCAAGACAATTACAAAGACTTTCAGACCAAAGGATGTGGTGATTGTAGCTACTTGGCTAAGGCACAATGCTGATTCAGTTCACTGGCTCTGCAGTAACACTTAAGCATCAATTAAATGCACCACCGTAAGAATTAAGTTTAAATCATGTTCGTGGAATTACCTGCACATTTAGTGATTATTGAGGAAGCAACATTTGCACAGGGCTAAAGTGTCATGTTTATCCCAGAATGACTTGTTCCCTTCATCTGTGCCTCAGCTGTCATCCTATGTCTGGAGAGTGTGGCTGCAAGCCGGGCTGGTCTGGACTCTACTGTAACGAAACATGCTCTCCTGGATTCTATGGGGAAACTTGCCAACAGATCTGCAGCTGCCAGAATGGGGCTGACTGTGACAGTGTGACGGGAAGGTGCGCCTGCGCCCCAGGATTCAAAGTGAGTACCTTGGCCTCTGGAGGCATGACAGGGATGCGCAGTGTGGAACAGACACATCAGCAGCATCATTTATGTGAGCTACCAGGAAGCAGAGTGAATGCGACCGAACCATTCACAGCATCCATGAGAGAAGAACTGTTTGAGATTAGTAACTTTTGCATCCCAGTGATGGCTGAGAGCACTAATAAAACCATGAAGATGTCATTAATGTTTGCTGTTAGAACTCATCAGGAAGTATTACCTATTATAATTACTCCTAATGTAGTTATGTTATTGTGACCTATAGACAATAGAGTGATAGTTTTTTTAATGTGGTTATTGTTAGTTATTATATTATTTCTTTTTTCCTCTGTGCAATAGCCCAGGCTGTCCTGGAACTTGCTCTGTAGACCAAGCTGACCTGAAACTCACTGAGATTTGCCTGCCTCTGCCTCCCAAGTGCTGGAATTAAAGGCGTGCACCACCACCGCCCAGCCTAGTTATTATTTACGACAGTTTCTGTTTTAACGCCTCAAAATTTAAAGACACAGCCTGCATCAGTTCTGATTCATGATACGTTCACACGCTATAGGCAGTTGTGCAAAGTTCTGAAGTCCCTTTGAGAGTGTAGCGTCTACAAATGTACCTGTACGCGAGAGTAGAATTGTGCCTGTGGTCTCCAGGATGTTCTTAGCTTCTGAAAAGGGGATGCAGTGGCTGTGCTTTCTTTCTTCCCGTTGTAAAGATAACATTGAACTCTGAAAAATGGTGATGGTCATTCTGGGGTACATCATGTGGAAAGAGTGGACCCTGAAGTCACAGAGCAGAGAGAACCTTCCCAGAGATTTCTGATTAGAGTCACAATCCTTTGACTGACCCTTAAATTAACCTCCTCTTAAAAGTTTTTCAAAAGTATTGTCCCCTGGTCACCTTTGGTAGCTCAGTTCTGTGTTTAATGCCTACTGCTGGGTAAACTGAACTATACCACTGGCTGAGTATAGTTTTAATTCAACCATTTACAATATTGCATATTATATGAGGAGGCCCACAAAGCATTTGGAAATGATGTGCAGTTCGTGTTTATAGTTTCCTTGACCATAGTTTTACACTTATAATTTATTTTCATATGTCTACTTGCATAACCAAGGGAGAAAGGTTTGTTCTGTTGTTCTGTTACAAAGATAAATCTAAAGAAGTCAGCAGGCTTTTGGCGTGTCCTATTTAATATTTTATCATAATCATGGACCAGCCAAGGTTGCACTTGAATATGTACAATTTGGATAAGAAATAGTATTATAGCAACTTTCAAAAGTATTGAGTGTTAAAACGAGAGAGAAAGCCCAATTAGCAGCGCCGCAGTGTATTTTCGCTTGTGCTGGCGTGGTTTTGGTTGGAAAAAGTAGCCACATTTTGCTGTTTTTGCTCATCTAGGGAATCAACTGCTCTACCCCGTGTCCACTGGGAAGCTATGGGATAAACTGTTCCTCTCGCTGTCGCTGTAAAAACGATGCTGTCTGTTCTCCTGTGGATGGCTCTTGTATCTGTAAAGCAGGTAAGAGTATGGGTGTCTGAATCTTTTGTTAGATCCTGGTCCTGTTGCCTCCTAGAGTCACTGGAAGGACACACGGATGAGGGCTTTAGCTCAAAATCCACTAAACTCAGTGCGACCTCATCCTCCCTCAGGCTAGGAAAGAAACTCATATTTGGTCATCTCTGAAGCTGCTGCCAGCTTTCAAAGTCTGAGTCCATGACTTTGGGAAGGGTAAACAAACAGACATGTCTATGCCCCCAAATGGCCTGACTTGGAGGCATGACAGGAAATGCAGCCAGCACAGATTTTATGTGTGGCCCAGACTGTGTCCTCCATGGATGCAGCCAGGATCTTGGTAACCCATTTTTTATGGTTAATGGCTACTGCTTCAAAGATGGGGCTATTCTTCCAAGAACAAACCTTCTACTTCTTCCGATAGAAATAAACAAAGCTTATCATTCCACCCCAACCACCACAGCCCATTAAAGGTGACCTCACTCCACCATCCCGTCCCAGTAGCCCAGGGGTGCATCTCAGTGTTAGCATCCCTGACCGATCACAGGGCACAGTTGGCTGCTTGCTTCCTTGGGGGTTCCTTTTCATTTCTGGTGGAGGCCTTTTGTGGCAGAGCCAAAACTGTCTGCCACTGCTGCGACTGGGGCTGGGCAGCACTGTTAAGCATCTCCAAGATGTCTCTAAAGGGAGACATGGGCTTGGAAGCACTCAGCAAAGCTCCCGGTCCGCCTTTGTCTCCTCACACGCTCTGTCGTTCTTGTCACGCAGGCTGGCACGGGGTAGACTGTTCCATCAGCTGTCCCAGTGGCACTTGGGGTTTTGGCTGTAACTTAACATGTCAGTGCCTCAACGGGGGTGCCTGCAACACCCTGGATGGGACCTGCACCTGCGCTCCTGGATGGCGGGGGAAGAAATGTGAACTTCCCTGCCAGGTATGTGGGCTCTGGGTGGATACGCCCGGAGGACTGTGCAGGAGGGTTGATTTCTTTGCCCACTTTGTTGTTTGTTTGTTTTTCCCAACTGGAGGTGAATGAGTGTGACCCAGTCTTCAGTAACTGTTACTTGAGGGGAAGTGGGTAGAGGCGTGGAAAGGCATGGAGTGGAAATCAGTTAATCAGGCTTTAAAGAATGCTTCCTTCTTTTCTTTGACCCCCATGCTGCTTTCCCAGCCCCCCACTCCGGCATTTTCCGTTTCTTATCCACTCATCTCCTGGGTGCAGCCAGGCAGCAGCATTGGTCAAACACCCAGTGTACGCCTGTCAACTCTCCACATAGTCTGTTTCCATTATAATGGAAATCTGCAGGCTTTGGGCTGGGAAGTGACAGGGGGCTGAAAAGGGGGCGGTGGCTGGTGTCACAGAAATGCACATTGAAGTGATGAAAGGAGGTTTGGAAACAGCCTCGGTTGATGTAAATATTTCTGGAGGCACAGAAGTCTCCGCAGCACTTACTCCCTTCCCTTGACCTAATTTGGAGACATGCGTCATTGGAAACTCTCCTCTGTAGGTGCTGCAGACTAGCTGAGGGTGAAATGGGAAGGGGGTTCTATAGTGACCTGGTGCTTGCTTTCCAAAGCCCTTGACTGCTTTCTTTCCCTGCTTATGCCATGCTTTCTTCTGGAGCCATCAAGCCTTCTATCAACAGTAGTAGGTCCTCTCCCCCAGGACATTATCAGATAACAATGGAATCCCCTAAATTGGGCCATTCCAGAGACAGGGCTTCCATGAGGCCTCTCTTTTCTCCTCTGGGCATCCTTCTTGTTAAGTACAACCCATTTCCCAACAGAGAAGGATTCCTGCCCTGCATTATTCTGTGTTCCCCAAGCCCCTAGGAGCTAAGCTATCTTTGCCCCATCTCTTCAGACCAATAGGCAGATTAACAAAGCTCCACTGGGCTGTTAGGTGACCTTTTACTTCTCCATCATAGACAAAGTGGAAACCCCTGTGCATACCGTCTATTGTTCTGCATTAGATGTATTAGGGAAATCTGATGGTGCAGTCACATCTATTATAACAGAGCTAAATGCGGTGTAATCCTGGCAAACATTAGTGGAGCCTAAGGAGTGGGTTAGCTGGTTGCTAGACAAATGATTATGTCACCTAACACCTGCTGCCTGGTAATGCTGTTTCCATGGCCCCGCCCTCCATCACTGGGCTGTTTCCCTCAGTGTTTGGGTAACACAGGGAGGGTTGTGGTACCCTATACCAATTCCTAGAGTCTGGAGTCAAAAATAAGTTTTCCCTACCAATAAAAACTTTTTCATTCTTCTTCATGAATAATTAATTGGTCATGCCCATCCACCAAGAGTCTCCTCTTTATTGGACCACTCAACAGTAGCATGAAGAGTAGCATGCACATCCGGGGAGGATGAGGAGGCTGCCCATGGAAAGCTTACTTACCGTCTTGGAATCATAATGTTCTGCACAGTTTGGACGTTTTCCTGGGAAGAAAGATAGTTATTAGAGAAAGTAACCATCGATTTTCAGTCTTCTTTATCATGTCATGTATTCCGCTGACAACAGATTATGAAAATGAACTTAATTCAATTATATGTATATCACATATATAGCATCTATTATCATATCTATGTATCTATGTACTTATCATCTATTTAATCTGTGTGTCTATCTAGCATGTGTAAGTGTGTGTGTGTTTGTACGTGTACATGTCTATCTTTTTTATGTGGACAAAGACCCCTCTTTCCTCTAAGGAAAGAGAATTATAGGGAACACAATGCTGAACTATGTTGTAAGAATCATTAAAGACAAATGAACATTTTCATGAGTGTGGTAAAGGGTTCTTTTAGTCAATTGCGTGCTTCTATTTATTGTATGTATACATACATACAAGCTGACACAATTGGTTCACTGTGCCCGTCTTCTAATTATTGTATCAAACCTAAGTTAGTGTTGAGGAGGTTTTCAAATGCTACCCCGCAAGCTTGTGTTTTGCATCCTGGGGAGAGAGGATGTGATGTATGTTCCTAAGCAACGTGTCAGGGCCCTTGTGGTTTGCTATCATGGGAATACTTAGATTTGTCATCGCCGGCTTTGGTGTTCTCTTCCTTGCAGGATGGCACATACGGGCTAAACTGTGCTGAGCGCTGTGACTGCAGCCATGCAGATGGCTGCCATCCTACCACAGGCCACTGCCGCTGCCTCCCTGGATGGTCAGGTATGACCTTAGGGCCAGTGTTTGAAAGAAATAGCCAATGCTCTAGTATCTAGTGGTGTTGCTTCTTCCTTCAAAGAAATACACACAGGTCATTTTTTTTTTCAGGAAAAAAAAATTTAAAACTGCAGTAAAGTCCCCAGCAAGTGAATACATTTTTGTCCATGAAATATTGTGTTAGGTGTGATTTATCAGTCACCTAACTGATAAACAAGGGTAGTCAGTTTCATTGAGCTTAAACGTAAGATCCCGTTGATAGAATGTAGGCCAGCGAGATTTCTGTTATATTTTGAGTATTGAGAGAGAAAATTTTTTAAATAAGTCTCAAGACTATAATTAGCATCATCATAGAGATGAAACTATTAACTACTCCTAATATGGTTCATATACAAATATTAAACTCTTTCCCAGAAATAAAAGTTCAAAACCTTTTCCTTCCTTAAAAGTTTGAGTCATGATAAATTCATGTTATGATTGAGCACAAAATTTCTAACCATGGGGTAGAAACTCTTTATTTATGTGGCTTTATGAATTCAGCTGGGAAGTTTATCGGGTGAGTAGTAATCCCAGATGAGGAATGATATCTTTACTCATGATGTACAGGTTTGCTTGGACATTTAGTGCTGCCTTCAAAGTCTGTAAATCATGAGCAAGAACATCGCTCTTCTGGCAGGAACACTTTACATTCCCACCAGCAGCATCCGAGTGTGTCTGTATCCCCGGCACACATCCGTCTTTCTGGTGACATCGTCTCAGTGGCTGTGAAGTGGTACCTCTTGGAGGTTTTGCTTTGTGTTCCTCTGGTGACTGATGATGCTGGGGATCCATCATCTGTGCATTTATTGGCCACCTGTACATCTTCTTGGGAGGAATATATATTCATAGCTTTCATTAATTCTTAAACGAGTTCTTTTTCTTTATATCATTGAGTTCTAAGACCTCATTATATAAGTGTTCTTTACCAGATATGATTTGCAAGCCTTCCCCTTCCATTTCCTATTTTTGTCCCTGCTATTTCCATGGCGTTCTTCTCAGCAGAAGTTTTTATTTTGATAAAGCTTACCTTGTCTAATTTTCAAATATTGCTCCCTTGTGCTTTTGGTATCAATTTTAAGAAATCATTGCCTAATGCAGGATTGCAGAGGTTTATTTCTATGTTGTCTTCTAAAGTTTTTTAACTATGTTCTGTGTTAGTTTTTTATGCTATGATAGGGGGAGGTCAAACTTCATCCTATAATCAGCGGTCTCCGCACAGGTTTTGAAGACCACTCTTTCTCCCACTGACTGTCTTAACTTCCCAGCCAAAGTCAGTTTCCCATAGATGTGAAACTTATGTCTGGATGTTTTAGTCAATTCCATTGGGCTGTATGCTTGTCCTCATACTGGTTCAATTCTTCCTTGATTACGGTGGCTGTGTAGGAAGTTTTAAACCGGGAGAAGGGTGAGAATTCCACCCTTGCTTCCTTTTATGGTTGTCTCGGTCATGCTGTATCCCTTGGATTTCCATGTGACTTTCAGCATCTATATACCAGTTTCTGCAAATAAGCAAGATGGGAATTTAGTGGGGTTTAGCTGCTAGATTAATTTGGGGAACACTGGCAACTTAGCTACATTAAATCCAGATTCACAAACATGGCACCCTCAGAGGGATCTGTTGCCCTCACCCCAGAATTTGCTGAGAGCTTCTTTGGTTGTGGGGAAAAAAAAGAAAGAAAACAAAACAGGGATGGACTGCCACTTGTCAGATAGACCGACTTCATTTGCTGTCAGTACGAGTGCCCCATGGATTCAAGGCCTCCTCCCTGTAGTTCCCTCTTGACTTGTGAGCTTGGCTGTACAGCACAAAAGTCCATCTATGTATGTCCCTGTCACCTCTGCATCACAGATGTTGAAGTTTGATCATATCAGGCATTAAATTCCATTTGTGATTTCACCAGGATTCCAGAGTTTTGCACATGAATATTAAATTCTCAGTGACCTCAGTGAGGCAAAGGGGCACCTTCAGTCTGGTAAAGCAGATCGATCCTAACAGAGGCCACACTATCGAATTTGGGCTCTGCTGTACCAAACCTGCTTCTGTCTTATAAACCCATGTAGACTGGGAAGTGTCCCTGGACATACCAGCCACAGCCTGGGTGTCAACCTACTCTGATGATTTAGAACCAGCCTGTGAAAGGGACACCCTCGGACACATGAGAAAAGCAAGAGATGACTTGGCTTAAGGCCAGTCAGAAAATGTGTTCCTGGCATTCCACAGTCTGGGTCATGGGGTAAGACAAATTATTCCATCTGGCCTTAGACCTACCAGGCTCCTGTGGGAATGCACTGGCTTTGCCGCACAATGTGATCCTGTAATCCCCTTCCCATCTGTGACCAGCCTGTTTCCTGCCTCCTCCTCCCTCTCTCTCTCTCTCTCTCTCTCTCTCTCTCTCTCTCTCTCTCTCTGCCCTCTGTCTCTTTGCTTTGCAGCCTGTACTTATGTCTCTACTGCTCTCGGGCCAGCCCAGTGGTCCCCCAATGCCTCATTTCTCTGGGCCTTCCATGGGCCTGGGTGTGTGAGTAGTTGTCAGTCTCTGAACCTGCTGAGAGATTGTTCCCCCACACTCATAGAACACATTGGACACAAACAAACGTGGGGGAAAAAAAAAGACAGTTCCAGCAAATTAAAACACAGATCACATTTGGAACGGAGAGCTGGATTACTTTTTCTAAACAGAAAGAACAGATTCTGGGTAATATTTATACAGGGCATCATTTCGTTGTCAGCCATGAACAGGCTCACATTTTTTTTTTCGCTGATAAGTTTTTGAATAAGTTCCTTGTTAAGACTTCACAACAGGAAGAAGGCCTTGCCTCTCATTAAGGAGCCAGCTTTCAGCCAAATCTTTACTATAAGCCCAGGGAACCATGAGAATCGGTCCCTTTTCTTCTCTGTTGCTGGTATTGCTGTAGGCGACATGCTAGAGATCACTTGCTGGAGAGAATACAGTATGCTATAACGGGGGTGTGTCCTCAGTGAACTGCAACACGGGGCCTAGGCTCTTCCCCTGGGCACAGTAACAAAAAAAAATGCTGCAAAGTGTTCATCCAATGAGGACAAGGCAGAGGTGGCAGTGAGGGCAGAGCAGGAGCACACTCAGACTGAGCAGCTGTCATCCCATCTTTAAAGGAAGTCTGGTTTCCGAACCAGGAGTCGCCACCGCTCAAAACATCATGATGTTGCCTCAGGTTTGTATCTTCCTAAAAAATGTTGAGATTTTTAAAATAGGGCTATAATCCAGGGTCCATAGTTCTTGACCAGGGGACGGAGGGAGCACATTGTCAGCTCAAGTGGCATAACTTCATTCAAATTATATATGTATGTATGTACACATAATGTTGGAGAAGGGCCGCTTGTTGGTTCCCGGCTGCCCGGCTAGCTTAGACCTGAAATAATCACACAGAAACTGTGTTAATTAAATCACTGCTTGGCCCATTAGTTTTAGCTTCTTATTGGCTAACTCTTATATTAATTTAACTCATTTTTATTAATCTTTATATTGCCACATGGCTGTGGCTTACTGGGTAAAGTTTCCAGCATCTGTCTTGAGCGGCTCCATGGCTTCTCTCTGACTCTGCCCTTCTTTCTCCCAGCTTTCTGTTTAGGTTTCCCTGCCTACTTCTATTCTATCCTAACAGGCCAAGCCAGTTTTCTTTATTCATTAATGGTAATCACAGCATACAGAGGGGAATTCCGCATCACACATAATAGGAATTAAATAAAAGGAGGCTGTGAATCTGAGAGGAAGCAAGCAGGGAGGGCCATAACGAGGGGTTGGATGAAGAAAAGGAAAGGAGGTGAAGTGACAGAATTATAATTTCAAATTTTTTTAAAAAATTGAGAAAATAGGTCTACAAATGTTAGTATGTTTTACCTAGGTATAAAATGTCATACTGTGGCTGAGCAGTGGTGGTGCATGCTTGTAATCCAGTTCTCAGGAGGCAGAGGCAGGCAGATCTCTGTGAGTTCAAGGCCAGCCTGGTCTACAGAGTGAGTTCCAGGATAGCCAGAAATGTTACACAGAGAAACTCTGTCTCAATAAACAGACACAAACAAACAAACAAACAAAAATACTGTGAAAGTTAGCCAAAATCCGAAGGGCATTCACTATTGCAACCTCTCTTTCTAAAGTTAATGCACCATTTTTGCAAAGAAAGGATATGCACATTTACCATATGCAGATATTTAAAACCTTAGTTTGTTGACATTTCCAGCCAATAGATTGTCTTATCCAAAAGAAACAGACCTCATTAGAAAATGGGGAGGCAGGTAAATGAAGTGCCATTGTGGCTGCAAGCACATATTGTAAGTCTTTAGGATCTCTGAGACCTGTGTTACTCTGTCAGCCTCGAAAATATCTAGGCTGTGTCTTGGGCTTTGTACACATGCATACACACACTGCACACATTCATGCGCACTCACATACCATAAACGGTGTGTGTACAAGCACATCCCACACAGTTATGAACTGAAACTGGCTTCTCAGAAAGGGTTGAGAAATTCCAGATGAACTATAATTAGTTTTACACAGATAGAGACGTATATGTGTGTGCGGTTTTCCAGAGCAGAGGTGGAGTGGTGGCCTTTATAAAGTATTTCCTAAAAACGGCAGAAACAGGTTGGCGTGTCTCCCTTTCTGCTCTGGGATCAGTCAGCCAGAAACACCTATTCACTGAGCATTACAGCTAATCACCATTTAATTCCCGCTGTCTGAAAACACGTGCGGTCTGTGGCCTGGTTCCCAGCTCTGGCCAAGATCACTGTCACCTGGGAACTCTTTCCACTTGTATGTTCCCGGTCACCTTCTAACACCTACTGAAAGGAAATGTGGAGGGTGGCAGGGGTGGGGCAGAGAGGAGAACGCTCTCACCAGTCCATGAACCATTTTTTTTATACAATTTTTGAAAAGATTTGGAAATCTCTTGGCATGCTCTCCTTAGCATACAGGGTGAGCTGGATGTCT